TTTTCCCCCCTTTTCCCCCCTTTTCCCCCTTTTTCCCTTTTTTCCCCTTTTTTCCCCTTTTTCCCCTTTTTCCCCCTTTTTTCCCATTTCCCCTTTTTTTCCCTTTTTTCCCTTTTTTTCCCTTTTTTCCTTTTTTTTCCTTTTTTACCCTTTTTTCCCTTTTTTTCACTTTTTTCCCTTTTTTTCCCTTTTTTTCCCTTTTTCCCCTTTTTTTCCATTTTTTCCCCTTTTGTCCCCTTTTGTCCCCTTTTTTCCCTTTTTTCCCCTTTTCCCTTTTTCCCCTTTTTTCCCTTTTTTCCCTTTTTTCCCCTTTTGTCCATTTCCCCTTTTTTCCCTTTTTTTCCCTTTTTTTTCCTTTTTTTTCCTTTTTTACCCTTTTTCCCTTTTTTTCACTTTTTTCCCTTTTTTTCACTTTTTTCCCTTTTTTCCCTTTTTTTCCCTTTTTCCCCTTTTTTCCCTTTTTTCCCCTTTTGTCCCCTTTTTTCCCTTTTTTCCCCTTTTCCCTTTTTTCCCCTTTTTTCCCCTTTTTCCCCTTTTTTCCCCTTTTTCCCCTTTTTCCCCTTTTTTCCCCTTTTTTCCCTTCTTTTTTCCCTTTTTTCCCTTTTTTCCCTTTCTTTTTTCCCTTTTTTCCCTTTCTTCTTTTTTCCCTTCTTTTTTCCCTTCTTTTTCCCTTCTTTTTCCCTTCTTTTTTCCCTTCTTTTTTCCCTTTTTTTTCCCTTTTTTCCCTTTTTTCCCTTTTTTCCCTTTTCCCTTCCCTTCCCTTTTCCTTTTCCTTTTCCTTTCCTTTCCTTTTTCCTTTCCTTCCCTTTCCTTCCCTTTCCTTTCCTTTCCTTTCCACCTGCTATCAGGCCATCTAGGACTGTTTAAAGAACTATCCCTCCCTTTTTGTATTTATTTGGGCACTATGTGTGTCCATGTATGGGTAGAGAACAACTTGTGGAAGTCAGTTCTCTCCTTCCACCATGTGGGTCCTGGGGATCAACTCAGGTCATCAGGCTTGGTAGCAAGTGCCTTTACCTGTTGAGCCATCTTGACAGTCTTTTATGGGTGGTTATGAGCTTTTATATGAGCACTTGGAACTGAACTCTGTCCTCTAGAAAAGCAGGAAGAGCACTTGACCACGTAGCCATCTCTCCAGCCCTCTTCCCCATTTAGACTCTTACTAAACATTTGTCCCTCCCATCCTTGTTCATCTAGGGTACCGTTTGTTTCTCTCCAGCTGTCATCCATTCTATCGGGCATGTCCAAATGTCTCTTTGGCTTTTAAGCTGATTAAAGTGGGTAGACAGGTCTGCACCTAGAGACCTGTAATGCTCCTTGCCTTAAGGAGCACCTGTGACTTTGCTAAAAGAGCAACAGTTGAATAAAAGCCCGGCTTTCTGACACTGAGTTCACTCTGACCATGGCAGTCAGGGTCTCAGCTCCCAGGTAAGGTCCCTGCTCTGCTTACCCAAGGAAACACAGTTAAGTCAAACTCATTAGCTGTACAAGCAAAGGCCTTTAGTACATTGAGCAATTTCAAGCAGATGATTAATGTAAGCCATAAAGGGATCCCTGCCTGGCATCATAAAGTGGAACTTTATGTAAAGAATCTGATCATGCTGCTAGCCAGTCTTTTATTGCATCAACTTCACAAACAACTCCTCAAGATTATTCCAGAGATACTCTTCCCTTAAAGAGGGGAGCCGCCACTCTGAGCAGTCAGCTCCTCAGTAGAGAGACCAGTGAGGCTTCTCAAGAGCTGCCCTGTGCCCCCATGCATAGCACTGGCCTTGCATGAAGGACATCACTGACTTGAATGACTTAGAGGTCCAGACTTTGGGTACCATGGTACCCCAGATGTTCCTATCAGTTTCAGCCCTGTGAGTTCAACCAGGGTCTAAGAACCCTTTATTAAAATACAAACACTTCCTGAGGAGTAAGATTCCTAGCCACTAACATCATTAACTTCTAACTGACATCACTGACTTAATTATAACAGAGAGGAGGGGGAAAGGAAGAGGGAGAGGGAGAGGGGGAGGGAGAGGGGGAGGGAGAGGGAGAGGTAGAGGGGGAGGGAGAGGGAGACGGAGGGGGGAGGGAGAGGGGGAGGGGGAGGAAGAAGGAGAGGGAGAGGGAGAGGGAGAGGGAGAGGGGGAGGGAGAGAGGAAGAGAGGGAGAGAGGGAGAGAGGGGGAGAAGAAACCCCTACAGGAGGGAATGGTAGGGATACGGGGAGCAGACACCAGCTTTAATCAGTATTAGCTCAGTTGCAGAGCTTCAGTGAATCCGAACATTTCTCAAATTTTCCAATTCCACAGAAAAAGGCTCACAGAAAGTGGAGCAGACCCTTACATTATTGCCTCTAAAAGCAATACAACTGCTCTACAAAATCACACCTGCCCTCCCTCCCAGCTGCACTTCCAAGGAGAAAATTCTAATGTGGAAGAAGAGGGAAGTCTTACAAAGATGTCTCTAGTAGACTTGTTCATAAACTGCACAGCCCTCTGCTAACAGTTTGTGGATCAATACTGATAGCCCTTGGACAAACAACAGACTTCACTCAGGCTGAGGCAGTCCTGGCCCTTGACTATTTCCACAGATGTTAATTTCTGATCACTTCAGTTTTATATGGAGACAATAGTGGTCTGATTATTGAATATTAAGGAAAGCTTGGGTAAAATATGATTACAACAATGACTCATGAAATCATCTAAAATCTTAATATATTCAAAGAATATATCAAATGCTGACAGTCTGGGTACAAATGAATATAGTACATCATGGCATATTAAATATATATGTTATCCCAACAAAGTTAAGGGAAAATGTATTATAAAAAAGAAAAAAGAGTCAAAATGTTACATTAAGTATTTTCTCTGGGTTTTATAATAATGAATGGTTGTAATTTTTCTGGTTTTCTGTATTTTATAAAAGTTATACTAAATATATATTTGAGAATAAAATAGCCGGGTGGTGGTGGCGCACGCCTTTAATCCCAGCACTTGGGAGGCAGAGGCAGGCAGATTTCTGAGTTGGAGGCCAGCCTGATCTACAGAGTGAGTTCCAGGACAGCCAGGGCTACACAGGGAAACCCTGTCTCGAAAAACCAAAAAAAAAAAAAAAAAGAGAGAGAGAGAGAGAGGGAGAGAGAGAATAAATATTCATTTCAATGATAAGTGACATTGATGATGTCTTTTCTGTCAGCACTGAACTTCTGAGTGGGTTATATCATCCTAATGGACAGGTGACAAAATTGAGGCAATAGCATTTCTGTGACTCTCCCAAAAGTGGCAGACTGACTTAGCTCCAGGACTTCTGTTTCAAGTCACTGTAGTATCCTGTATCTGTGATCCTCAGAACAAGTGCAGGTCAGCACTGTCGTGGCTTATCAGGAGTAGCCAACCTTGTATCACATTGTGATATGTGGTTTGTCACCGGCAAGTTTGTAAGGCCACACTCATAGCTATCCTGGGATGCATGCAGTCTCTGGGATGCATGTTGCACATACCTGTTAGATCCTGAAGGTCCCCAAAGTCTCCAGTACTAAAGCTTGGTCTTGAGCCTATTGACACTATTGGCAAGTGGTGGCAGTTTGGAGGTGAGACCTAGTCGGAGGAAGTTAGGTAATAGAAAGCGTGTATCTGAAGAGGATCTTGGGATCCTGATCTCTATATCCTCCACACAGACCCCTGTCTCTGCTACCTAGCAACCATAAGGTAAACGTCCTCCACCAAGCAGTGATGCTCTGCCCCAGCACAGACCTAACGCAGTGAGGCCAAATGTCGACCAACAGAGGCCCCTGGGAGCATGAGCTGTTAGTTTATCTCAGATTTTCATCACAGAGATGGAACTGGAAGACAATGTTAAATGGGGAAAAAATTATTTCCCACAACGTCCCAGAAGGGGAAACCATTTTCTATTGCTCCCACACTACAGCTTAGATCCATGGGAAGAGTTTCGTTTCATTTAATTTCCTTTTTTTTTTTTTAAGGCAACCCAAAAGAAGGCAGAGCTAAGTTTCTGGTTTGCAGTCACTCCCGCTTGAGTTATTTGACCTCAGTTCTTTGAAACTTGCACAAATGTTTCCCTTGCTCAGCCAAGAAAGCTGTGTCTGTTTTAGTCCAGTGTTTACCAATGGTCTGTTTCTGGGGTCAGTGTATCTAAGCACAACGCCTTCCAAGCCAGTTTTTTTTTAACTTCATTAATAAACAGCAGAGTGCTCCAACTGTTAAAGTCATAT